ACAATATTTTATTGTTAGAATAATAATATGAATTTACTAGTCCTATAATAAATAAAATTTTCTTCATTTTGAGCAATATAACATTCCAAAATAATTGTTTGGGAAAAAAACCATTATTTCTAATGAGATTTTTTCATAGGCTGTATTATTTACTTTTTCGGAAATCTTTATCTGAACATTCGAGACTTTTTTTTTGCATTATACATAGTTACAATTATATTTTATAAAGTTTAATTATGCGGTTAATAATACGGTTAACCGTGCGGCTAATCGTACGGTTAAATAACGGTTTTGATACGTTTCCGGTATATTAACGGTTACGGTTAGTATATTTTTTTTAACCGTAACTAATCTAGTTTTAAGGTGAATGGTTATGGTTTTTAACCGTTTTATACAGTTACGGTTGAAAAACGGTCCAGTTACGATCCAAAATACGGTTACGGTTAGCTTTTGGTCATGCTTACTAGGCATGACCAAAAGCTAACCGTAACCATATGTTGTATCGTAACCGGACCGTTTCTCAACCGTAACCGTATAAAACGGTTAAAAACCGTAACCGTTAACCGTAAAAAATAATTAGTTACAGTTAAAAAATATATTAACCGTAACCGTTAATTAACGGTAAACATATGAAAACCGTTATTTAACCATATGGTTAACCGCATAGTTAAAACTTTAAAAATATAATTGTAACTCCATATAATGCAAAAACAATTATCGTATGTTCAGATTAAGATTTTTAAAAAAGTAAATGATTATAACCGTAACTATCCGTAACCGTTGTAACCGTAACTGTAACCGTATTTAACCGTAACCGTATTTAACCGTAACCGTTATAACCGTATTTAATCGTAACCGTATTAAACCATAACCGTATTTAACCGTAATCGTTTTAATTTGTTTTTGTTTTTCTCCAAAAAAAACTGTTTATGTTATAGTGTACCGCTTTTCATAAAGCTTTTGTGATTGGTAACTGTCAAAGCTGTACAAAGCTGTACAGGTTTAAAATTGGTTACCAATCATAGCCATCAAAACATTTCTTCTCATGATTGCGTAAAAAAGAAAACCATTTCTTTTCACTTTAAATTTTTATCGGGTATGTCACTGTAACCAATAAAAAAAATCTATATAATAATAATAATTTAAATAAATATATTTTAACTTATGAGCAGTAGTATCTTTTTACCACAATCTTTTGTTAAATTTTTGTTCTTAAACTAAAAATCATGTTTTATAGTTGTTCCTTTTTTAGAAAATTGCAATACGAATAAATTAAATATCTTCTAAGATTGCGTCTTTTATTATAACTCTTCATAAACGGTTACAACTATTTAGTTGAACCACTACAACATTTAGTTTATATCAGTATTCTAAAATACGCTCTAGACGACCGTATATACGGTAGTTATACGCTATACGGCAGATTAATGTACTGTTTTAAGCTATGCGTTTAACAAATACGGTTGGGCTCAATACGGCCGCTTATACAGCGCTATATGGCTCAATACGGTCGCTATAAGGCTCAATACGGCCGTTTATACGGTATCACTTATACAAATACGGTTATCATTATGTTTTCATTTTCTTGAGAGTTGGAGTTAAACGTGAAATATCTTTTATTTTATATTTTAGTGTATGTAGAATTTTAGGGTTTAGGATTTAGGATTTAGGGTTTAGATATGTGATAAGATGTGGTTGAGTACGAATATTTCGTGCCGAAGAATCCGCTTTAACATTTGCATTACGAGGAACCAAAGATAAAGAAAAAAAAGAGAACTATTCCTGGTCACTTTAAATCGCCTCCAAGTATGAAAAAATGTTGTCCAGTCGCTCGGGAAAGACATCATCTTCACTAAGTCTGAGCAGTCTGTATAGAAAGCTACTTTTTGCTTGTCTTGGCCAATCATACATCGCATTACCCAGACGAGTGCATCGCATTACCCAGACGAGTGCTTCTACCTCTGCATGAATAGAGGTTAAGCTTCTTCGAAGATTTGCAACTGTCATACTTTGCGAACTTTCATTCGGCAGAGAACAAAACCAACCTAGTCCTGAAAAAGCATTATTTTCTTTCCAAGATCCATCTAGAAAGCTCATATATCCAGGAGAATTGTACTCTAATATTTCTCTTCCCCTAACATTATGAATAACCATTTCCATTGGACCACTAATTTCATTATTTTCCTTCTGTTGAGACAGAGTCCACGATTTTTCCTCCACTTATGCCAATCGTAAAACCTCTTTTGGATCCATATCCACATTGTCATAAATCTGTGTTCCTAGCCTTCCATATATACCACATAATCCATGGGTACATTAAACTATTTGAATCTTTAAGTGTTCGCCAAAATAAATAATCCATATTAGTATACAAAAAAGCTGATGGAAAAACCGCAACTGATTTTGGAACCTGTGATGAGGCCTAAGTTTGTATTGTCGGTGGACATTAAAAAATTGCATGATTCATCGTCTCCTCCAAATCTCCACATCTAGCACAACCTAAATCACAATTTATTTCCCGTAAAGATTTGTTGAAACTGACACACATCTCGTAAGAAATTACCACATAAAGTATCGTAATTTTGGTGGAAAATCAACTTTCCAAGTATAAGCTTGCAATGGTCGAATCTCCGGACCTTATACTCGGCTTATATGATCATATGGCGTATGTAGCCGCAATGTGTGATAACTCGATTTAACTGTGTATTTTTCTGATTTAACCAAATGCTAACCCAAAGAAGCGGGCTTAGTACGTGCACCCAAAGGCATAACACATATCATGGAAATATCTTTCACCTCGAATTTAGCAATAAGTGCTCCATTTTCCATGTATTTGATCGATAATCAATGATATTTTCTACTTGGAGCAATGGGTCATGAGATGAACCATTGCTTAAAGCTGGCCTCGAGAATAGAGATGTGATCCATGGGTCATTCCATATTGAGATGGACGCTCCAAGACCAACTCTTTTAATAAATCTTTAATTAACCACAGGGCGAGCGGATACTATACTTCTCCAGTTATAAGAGGGAGCGTAAGATTTAATTAGGTCTAGAGGGGTTGAATTCCGATAATACCTTCCCCTGAAGACCTTAGTGAATAAAGAACCAAGTACCGAGATTAATTGCCAAAGTTGATCCACTAGTAGAGACGTATTAAAATCATCCACCTTCATATTTACTACAACATAGCTTATCCCAAGTCATCCAATGCATATCTCGGGATTGACCATTGGTACTCCACAAGTACTTTTCTACTGCACTCGTTAGTTTCAATGTGACAGTTTTTGGAAGTCGTAGAGCAGCCGCAACCGATTTAATCATAACGTTTTTTCCCTTGGATAAAAACTTTGTCAACCATCCATTAGTTCTATTTTGCAATCAATCTTTGACAAAAGAGAAAATCTTTGTTTTAGACCCACCTAAACTTTCCGGTAAACGTAGGTAAGAACCCATACCACCAACATATGTGATACCCATAATTGCCTTTAGTTTCGTTCTATGTGGTTCCTCTATTTTATAGCCAAATTGAAATTGATGATTTTGCAAAATTTAATTTGCTGACCTAACACCACCTCATACTTCTTTAATAAATTTAAAATAGCACCACTCTATTCCTTATTTGCATTACACTTAAAGAAGAGTAGACTATCAACCGCAAATAATAAATGGGTAATTGAGGGACTTGAGTTTGCCACTTTTATTCTAGTGATTAATTTATCATGTTCTGTTGTCCTGACATTGGCGACTAAAAATCTTTGTACAATAAATAAATAAATATGGTGAAAGTAGATCGCGTGTCGTAATCCCCTTTCTGATGTTATCGATTCTCTAGGTTGTCTATTAAGGAGAACTCTATACTAGACCAATTTAACACACCACATTATCCAAGAATTCCACTTCTAACATAAACCCATTTTCCTAAGAAATTTTTCTATAAAAATCCATTTTGCAGAAAAGATTTGTACGTAGACCATAAAACATTTCCTGCGCTATAAGAATATTATCAGAAATGAGTCTTCACAAAGGCTATAAAACAATTGTACACCAAAGTATGTAGTAGAATAATCAAATTTTGAGAAACAAAATTAAATTAGACATATTAATAATTTTGTTTAGATTTTCAATTATATTAAACGATCAATTTGAGAAATCAAGAATCAAAACAAGCAATAAGATAAACTAACAAAAAGATAGTTATAATAAAGATCAGCCGAGTGTTGGCCCGAATGTTTTGGAGGCATGAAGCAAACCACTGAATATATGGTTTTTGCTGAATTTTGTTTCACTTTGTTTCTAATATAAATTTTAGTCAGATATAAAATCTTTTAAAGAAAAAAATAAAACATACAAAGCAGAATCTCTTCTGGGCCAACGAGTTTCATGGCAGACCAACGAGTTCCCATTACTACCCAATAACAACATATTTTAATAACCTACTTAATAATTATTTATCACAGTTATTCATAGGCCTGGACTAATAAACCGAACCGAATGTACCGAACCGAAACCGAAGCAAAATAAACCGAACCGAACCGAACCGAAAATTTGAAAATAACCGAATGGATACTAAATTTTATAACCGAAATAACCGTAACCGAATCGGTACCGAACCGAAATATTTCGGGTAACCGAAATACCCGAAATACAATTATATTTTCAAAATAATTAGTTATTTATAGATCAAATAATCAAAAATACTTGGAAAATATATAAAAATAATAAAAATATTCGAAAATAACCGAAATATATCCGAAAATACTCAAAAATAACCCAAATATCTGAAAATATCCTAAGCAAAATAACCGAATGGATACTAAATTTTAAAACCGAAAGAACCGGAACCGAACCGAAACCGAACCGAAATTTGAAAATATCCGAATGGATACTAAATTTTAAAACCGAAAGAACCGAAACCGAATGGACCCAACCGATAACCGGTTAACCGAAATCCCAGGCCTAGTTATTCTTTTTTTTTTTTTTTTTTTTTTTTTTTTTTTGGTCAAACTGGTTTTGTAGATAGATAGACGATCCTTACAGAGCAGGAGTAGCTAAAACAGTTAAAGAAGATAAGGTAGACATTGCTAACGCATCAGCTAACATATTAGACTTGCGTGGTACAAATAGAAACTTGATAGATAAAAGCGAACGACTAAAGAAGGCAATATCATGGAGAATCCCTTGAAGCTCGTTCGTAGTGGTCTCTGTATTTAGCAGAGATATGAGGACTTGCGAGTCCGAAAAAACTTTGATGGAGGTGAATTCCATTCTAGACGCTGCGATCAGCGCTGATCTCAAGGCCAAAGCTTCAGCAGCTAGAGCCGAAGGTGTATGGAGGCGAGTTGCCGAGCCCCGATGGATAACTCGATGATCTTGAGTCTTGAAAATCCATCCCATACCGCAGGAGCCAGAGGATGCGATCCAAGCTGCATCCGTGTAGCAAGAAAAAGCCTCATTGCGAGGGATTCTGTGGAGAGGAGCCTCAATGAGAGGTAAACTGAGAGAAGGAGCCTCAATAAGAGGTAAAAAAATAAAACTCCATAAAGGAGTAATCATGCGACCGCATCCAAGGCAAATGAACCATCAAAGCCTTGTTAACTACCAACGCACTCAAAGAGTCAAACGTGACCAACATTGGGACACATACCCATTGAATGAGGCATACGATTGCAAATACCAACTCACAGCTCAAGTAAACTGTAAGAATTAACAAGCCAGAAACGAACCTGGTAGAAAATGAAACCGGATCGAGACCGGAACAGAACCTGCATACTGCAGTAAAGGAACGCCTAAAGGCGAAATGAGTACCACCAAAGGGCACAAAAGGAGTAGCCAACAGACCCGAAGAGGCCACAAGACGGTAAGCGCTCAGATCTAAGATCTGAGAAAAGTGAAGTGAAGGTGAAATGGGAGAGAAGATGGTAGACTCTAACCCTGGTCCAACAAACGAGACGTGGAGGAGCGGGAGCAAAACGGTAAAAGGTTGCAAGGAGCTTTGGCCGGATTTTGAAAGAGAACCATGAAAAGGAGTGACACGGATCTGTTCTAGCGGAGGATCCGGTGGATCTGGAGGAACTGGAGGCTCTGGCGGAGGAGGAGGATCCGAAGCCGGTGCCGGAGAAAGCCTCAGTCTGAAGTGAGCGAGCAGCGCCGTTGGAAGATGGGGACTAAGTGAAGCCGCCGCAGATCCAGACATGGCAAGCAAGACGCCGGAGAAAGCCGGTAAAACGCCGGAAAAGCCGGTAAAACGTTAAAAGAGTTCGAAAGAGATGAAAGCAGACACCAATCAGGAGGTCGGAACGCCGGCGGAGGAGCTTCTCTTGTGGTGAAACGCCATTCGGAGAAACGTTGAGAGGCCTAGTTATTCATATGAGATGAGTGATGAACCATACAAGGCCCAGTTTAATTCCAATCCCTAAGCCCGTGTACGGTGTATCATTTATCAAGTTAAATCACATTTTCATAATCACGTTTTGGGAATCCAAAATTGAATATTTTACGCCACAACGGACTAATCTTAGGTAGAGAAGATTATACCTGCGGTGGATTAATGCAAATTTTGAGGTTTGTTTTCTTCTGTCTGTCTCTATATCTGTTTAACGAAGTTCCATAAACTTTAAGATACTATAATAGGAGTAATTTTAGTATGTGATTTGTTTCTCTTGTCTTTGTTCATTTGTCACAGTCTCCTAATAAAAGTCGTGACTATTCAGGGTTCTTACATTTAGTAACATGAAATGATAACATATTTAATGAAAAGGACTGAATTTAAGATTATAAAAAGCATTGAGTACTGTTTTTACGTAACATATTTTCTGACGTCATTGATAATTGACAAATGGAAATGAATATGTAATTTCTAGATTACACCTCTCCTAAAACCTCCCTACTTTTTCTCGAGCATTGCACATTTTCAGCTTTCATTTTTTTTATAGAAATTTTACATTTATCGAAGCCCATAATTAACCTTCTTGGTATAAAGGAAAGCAACAAGTACATGAGCCTTTAATACACTTTTTTTTTTGTTTCCTTATCATCTAGTATGCTTTTAATTTCGGGCAATAAATGTGACAATTGAAATTTAGATTTGAAAGGTCAAAATCACTTAAATTGCATGTCCCTTTGCCCAATTATCTTTACGCCATCGTATAACTCGTATTATTTTCTGTGTAACCATTGATTCAAGCAATAAAGAGATGACAAACACAAACAAAAATTGATTGATAGGTTATGGTACGAGTCTAGGAGATACTAGTATTATTGTTGGGAATGATTGTTTACTCATCAATTAGAATGAGATACGTGATGAAACGTTTCATAGATGACGCCGTGACCCTTGGCTCCTTGGAATCGTCAATAATCAACGTTTATTTTTAGGACATTTCCGATGTGCATGCTATTATCTTACTCATTTTCTATCAGGAGGATGTTAAAAGTAATCCTATCAAACTATTTAAAGTAGAGATTTTATTTTGATGTAGTCCAAAAGCACGAATACTCAACGTCATAGTATTTGCCGTTAAGACAAATCTGATCCAATTTGCACAAATTTTTTTACAACTTTCTGGATAATTAATTTGACTTTTATGAACGATACAACTTTCTGGATATAGTTAACTATGCTTAACATTAACATAATAAATATTTCATATGTTCCTAAGAACATTTGATTTTTTTTTTTTTTCCCTCAAATCCCATACATTAAGTTATCGGTAGTAACTTAATGACAATACTCTTTCTGTGTAACAATTGATTAAAGCAATAAAGAAATGACACAAAAAAAATGATTGATAGTCGTCTGGTAAGATATACTAGTATTATTGTTGGGATGATTTATCACTCATAAGTTAGAATGAGTTACGTGATGCCAAATTAAAACCCTTGGTTTATTGGAATCGTCAATATTGGAATCGTCGGTATACAATCTCGTAAAATACACAGGTTGCTATAGCAAACAATCATGTAGAATTATGTTTCAATGTTTATTTTCGGACATTTCCGATGTGCGGGCAATTATCTCGATCTTTCTATCAAGATAATGTTATATGTTATCCTACCAAACTATTTAAACTATCTCATTTTGACGTAGTCCAAAAACACGAATACTCAACGTCTAAGACAATCCGATCCAACTTGCACAATAATCTCTTAAATACAATAGTTAAAATGTGTTGAAATTAACATTATATATATGTATAATCAGTTCATGAAACAAAATCATGTAAATATATAATCTCTCCATATCATAATACAAGATGTTATGGAGAAAATTTTTTGTTTTATAATATAAGATGTTTTCAAGTTTTTAGGCAAGTTATATATTAACTAAAATAAAAATATTAACATAATATTTTAGAATTATTTGTGTTCTGTTGAATTTTTAAAAGTAGATATTTTTTAATCTACGTATTTTAACTAAAACATCTTATATTGTGAAATAGAAAGAGTATAAATTTGTATAAAAGTATCTTAACGTGACTAAATTTTTGTCAACTTAAAGATAAGATTTTCTTCTAATTTTGCAGTGTTCAACAAAGCACTAGGCGCTAAGCGGGCGGTGACCCAGTGCCTAACACCTAGAACGCCTAATCGGAGCCTACGCGATTTTCATGCGGTTTAGACGTTTATAACATATAACATTATAAATATGATATTATATATAAAAATTATATAAAATATCTATATAAAACTAAAAATTATGAAATTATAAACAAAAACTATATAAAACATTTATTTATATTTATATTAAACAATATATGAATATTTATAACTATATATATAAATAAAACTCTAATTAAAATTGAAAAAATACATTAAACAAAATCTATGTAATTTTAGGCAGTCAATGCGGTTATCTAGGCGTCGCATGAGAGTCTAGTGCCTAGTCGGAGCCTAGGCGACCTAGGCGACCGCCTATACCAAAACTGTAATTTTGAAAGTCTTAAAATACCAAACTAAAATATACTGTCATGGTTTGTCGACAAACTCAAAAACAAAAAAGCTAAAAAGAAAAGCTATCAAACAATAACCTTTTTTTTGGGGCAAACCTTCATAAGTAATTAAGATGTCGCTATAAGAAAAGAAAAGAAAAGAAAACAGCCAAATCAAAATACCCAATCAGCTTCTACACTTTACACATCACACTTTCCTCTTACAACTAAGCATTGCATCAATTCATTTTCCACATTTCTTGCTTTCTTGTCATCTTTTCTACTTCAACATTATAGCTTAACCACAAACTAATTTTCTTTTGAGTACACTAAAAAGTTAAAAGATCAAGTCAATAAAAAAAAAAAGAGTAAAGAAACAAATAAAGCATATAAATGATTTAAAAAATAGAGCAAAAAAGTTATTAAAAGGATCTCTAAATCATTAAATTAAAACAAAAGCTGCCAAAGAAAAGAAAAACAAAAGCTTAATCTTTAACATAATCATAATTATAAAACTAATACAACATTCATTCAAATAAACCTAACTAAAAACACCGTTAAGCTAACTTGCACGTGTAAGAACTTCAAATTACGAAACCATCCTTAAGTCATACAAGGAGTATAAGCAGAGTTCAAGGTCTCTTTGGTAATTTGACATCACATTACCGAACAACCGTTTGGATTCTCATCGCTGAATAACTCAAACGAATCTGACGGTCGAGGTTGATAAGGGTTTTGATCGGACGGTTGATAACCATTGTTCATGTACGCGTACGAATACGGTGGTGGAGGTGTATAATACGACGCAGCGTCTACACTCACCGGAGGTTGAGCAACGTTATAACTTACGCCATACATGACTTGCGGCGCATAATAGCCTGGTGCAGGATAAGGATACAGATCATGAGGTGGCGGATTGTTATTGGTTATTATATGGTGGTCATTGATCTGATTAAATGGACGGTCGTGATCTGTTGTAGTGGGAGGAGGAAGGGATTGAGTACGGGCAGGTCCATCGGTAGGATTGTTAGTGGTGTTCAGATTTTGCCCTTTCTTTTTCTTCTTTTTACCAACTTTGCCATTACCACCTCCACCGGTTTCTTCAGCTTTCTTCTCCGCCGCCGGAGCCGGAGAATCCGCCGGTGGTGACGGAGATTCTTCCTTGACAGAATCTTTTTCCTTAAGAACGTCCTTTCTCTCTTTCACCGTAGCAACTTCACAGCCGTCACCGGTACAACACTCTCCGGCGTCGGTTTTTCCAGACTCCGGTTTATCAAACTTTCCGACATCGGTTTTCTCCGGTTTATCCGTACCGGAAGAAGTAGCTTCTTCGGTTCGTTGCACATTTTCTTCTTTCTTCTTTTTCTTGTTCTTCTCTTTCGGGTCGACGGGTTTGGGTTTGTTCTCAACCGGGTCGGGTATCTCCGGTAACAGTTCGGCGTTTTTACCAGCCTTGTGAAGCTTCTTTAAGAGAATCTCCGGTGAAACGATTCCTATTACCGTTACCTGATGTTGCTTCACATCAATGTCCACTTTAAAAACACCTATAACCACAAAACAAAACGAATAAAAAAAAATTATGGCAAAAAAAAAAAAAAATTATGGCAAAAAATATTTTTACTTATAACCAAAAATTAGAGTGAAAAGATTTATGTATGTGTACCTTCAATACTGGTAAGTATTTTTTTCACTTTCTTTTTGCAGCCTTCACAGTGAATAGAAACTTTCAAGCTGCATGACTATGAGTACAAAAATTAAAATAATTCAAAACTTTGACTCAAAAGAGTATAAGAAAAAATAAAAAGAAATTTAAAATTTGTGGGAATAATGTTATAGTTATGTGCATGAAGGGTAACTGAAAACAAACCTTGTAAGGAAGTGGAAGAGGTGGTATGGTCGGAGGAGGAAGGTCTTCTTTGATTTGTGAGGATTGTTTTTGCTTTTGTTCTGTTTTTTTAGTTTCTGGTTTCATTTCTTCTGTTGCCATTACAGAACACAAAAGACAGAACACAAAAGAAGTTGTGAGATCTTTGAAGGGAAAGAGAGAGAGAGAGATAAAGAGAGACAGGAGTGTGTCTTGGGGAAGGCAAAAGATTAGGGGGAATTCATAATGACTTTATTATAAAGGATGGTGATATGAGCTTTTTAGCTGGTTTTTAAAATTTGTTTTACACTTTAAATTAATTGAGAATTGTAAAAAGATCCTCAAAGTTACCAAGGTTTTCGAAAATATACCACTACTTACGGAAACTACTAAACAAAAATCCAACTAATAGTATAAAATTCATGAGAAATTTGGGTGTATAACCATAAAAAATTTAATAATTCAATAACTAACCTAAAAAAAAGTTGACTACAATATTCTGTGTATAACATGTAATATATACTAATTTACCCTTTTGTTCATATGTCATATCATTTTCTATGTATTTTGTTTTTTTGTTTTTCTCTATCATCAATTTTATATTATTCCATGTTATGTCATTTAAGTTTATACTATTTCATTTATGAATTTATGTAATCTAACTTTGATGCGCGTTTAATTAGATAGTTTGGGTTCTTTATGTTGTATCTCTTAAGGTATAGCAATTCGATAGTTTTGGTGTGTGTTTAATTCAACAATTTAAATTTTCTATGTTATATTTCTTATAAGATGTAATGTTTCGGCATGTTGAATTTTCAATGTTCTATCCCTTAAATTATAATATTTCTTTTTTAACGTATGTATAACTTGATCGTTTGAATTTCTTATTTAGTATTTTATAAGGTATAGCATTTCACCACCATCACTATACGTAGTATTCATTACTATTCTATTTAATTCTATACTATTTTAGTTGTATCTATTTAGATCAAGTTTTGTTATTTATTTTTATTTTTATAAGTTTATTTCTATTTTTTTAAATCCAAATCATGATATATAGAGAAAAAAGAGTAGGTTTTATTTCTATAAAATTTATAAATTACTATTTAATTTTTCAAACAATTAATGTGAAGTAATACACAAATGGGGTAAAAAGTAAAAAAATTATTTAAAAAATCAATTACACTTCTTTCTCTCTCTCTTCACTCTCACGACACTCTTCTTTCCTTCATTCTTCAGTTGGCGTGTGTCCTTCTTCCAAGGTTAGTTTCGTCATATCCCTACTTCTCATGGTTACTTACTACATTTTTTGATTTAGTATGCTATATTCTTAATTATTTTTAAAAATATGTATATTGAGCAAAATCACCCAAAATTCATTGTGTAGTCCCCTTTTTTTTTTTTCACTGGTAAATATTAGGGATAATATTATCCCACATTGGAAAGGACAAGGGATCTTGACTAGTATATAAGATATATGGGCCTCTCCACTCATTGCCAATTGGTTTTGAGTTGGAAGCCCATATTCTAATATGGTAGCAGAGCTCGATCCGTACATATCCAAATCCAATCCACCATCGGCCCGGCCCAATAGTTGGCCCGCCGATCCATGCCCGAGCATACCGAGATCAATGGCTAGAGCCATCATCTCGAAGGGGCGTATTAGGGATAATATTATCCCACATTGGAAAGGACAAGGGATCTTGACTAGTATATAAGATATATGAGCCTCTCCACTCATTGCCAATTGGTTTTGAGTTGGAAGCCCATATTCTAATAGTAAATATTTGATTATGCCAAGCAAAGATACAAAGGGAAATACTAAAGCCGGCGGAACAACAAGATGTCCCCGGAAACCAAAGGTGAAAAGCTAAAGCCGGCGGAACAACAAGATATCTCCGGAGGCAAAAGCTCAAACAAGGGAAGCATAACCCTAAACAACAGGGAAACAACATAGAAAAGACGAGATAACCAACATAAAAAGCTTATAAAGGAAAAGCTAAGACCAATACACTACACTTGACCCCCTGTTCCAAAGAGAAACCCACCAAGCTTTCCTATAGAAACTGTAGACGTCGGATAGCATCATGGAGACCGGTAATGAAATACGACCGAAGTCTCCAACCGCAACACCAACAGGCAAGAAAGCAAGCTTCACCGATACCAGGGAAATAAGAACCACAACAGCCAAACCACACTAAGGCAGACGAGGAAAAAGAGACTGGCTAGGAACAAAGAAATAACCTTGAGATTCGGCTTGAGACAAGTCAAGGAAGACCAACAGCACTTACACGCGGACACTCGTCGACTCAGTTTAAGCCACCTACAGACAAAAACTGGTAACCTCCTCGCAAGAGAAGAACAGGAGATCGTTCCACTGCGACGCCTAGAACCCAACTTCAAACCACAAAGTAGTCAAAGGAAGGGCTAGTAGATGATTCCACAACAAAACACCATCCCAAAGACAAGCACAAACTGAAACCCAGCCAACACCAGAACCACGAAACGCCAAAAGAGCCCAAAAGAGCAGAATAGCAAAGGTCATTGTGTAGTCCCCTACCAAGGCTTTTTCATTTCTCGTAAAAAAAATAGTGGGACACGTCTTATTATAAAAGTTGGGTTAATGTATTATTGTGAAATTTGGTTTAACTATGGTTATATAACTCTAGTATTTAAAGTCCCTATTCGAGCAAGTAAATGTTAGATTCAAGTTTAAACAGTTTAGTAGATTAGGAATAATTTTGGATAATTTAAGAAATATGATAATATTAAAATTTTATAGATAATCATAAATATAAGTTTTAAAAAAGTTTTAGTTACCAACTAGGTACACTAGAATTTTTAATTTAGAAAGAGAATTTAGTAGAAAAAAAATTTAAGCCGTCAAATTTGATTTTGTGAGTTTAATGTACATTTTTTTGTAAGTTGAGGCTAACCTTTAAAAAATTTGTCATTGTGAAAGTTTTTTTTTTTTTGTTGTGGCGGAAATTCCTTAAAATAATTATGAATATGTAAAAAAAAAAGATTTAAAAGCTAAAATACTAACCATACATAAAACCCCAATTCCAAATACTCGACATGTACCACTAATAATAAATATAATTTCGTCGCATTAGAGAATACTCCTCAAATGCATCACAAAATGAGTCATACTGATGAGTTCTAAGTAGTGAATAACTAAAGAATGAGAACAGTAACTCATCACTCATGTATATATGCTAACACAAATTAGAGAAGAAAACCACCCGTAAGATCAAAGGTTAAAATATGGCGATCACAGAAGCCACAAGTCCTGATCTCAGCTTAGCCAATCTCGCTCTTGAAGATGCCAAACCCAAATTGTTGTTTTCCGAAGAAACAACCACCACGGATCCTTCCCGCTTCTCCTAGGCTCAAACATTAAAGATCCCTCCTCTCTATCTTTGACTTATCTATCTCTACGTTTTCTTTATATATCTTATTATGAAATGTGAGAAATTGGGAGCTATATCCTTGCTCCTCATTTAATAGGAGTTTGAGAATTTGGTTACTAAATTAGGAGCCATCTAAACTTTGTTTTCTTTTCTTGGAAAATCAGATTTTCTAAATCTTATCATCTATAATTTGGTCATTCATATCCAAGCCATCTAGACCCGATACTGCTTAAATTTCTTTAATCGAATCCACCAATATGACTCAATGTAATGTCTTTTAGGGTATCAATTTCAAACTGTACGTCGAGTTTTATTTATTTACTAGTAAGCTTCATATCTTCGTCACAAAAAAGTTGTTAAAAATCCAAAACCCACACTCAAAATATGTTAAGCAGAAGAGTTCTTTTTTAGAGAATCCGTTTTTGAAACATGAAAGTAGAAGATTTTCCGACAGGGAAGCTAGAATCACAACGATCTCCACTTCCTCTCTTATTTGAGTAACCAGGAAAACAAAATTTGTTAAATTCCATCTCCCGGATCAAACACAAACCCTTTTCTTCAGCGAGAGTCTCGATCTTCCACTCATTAAATGGATGAGCCGTCTTATGAGTAACATGAATCTCTCCACCAACGTCTTTAACCATCTTTTTCGCGTTCTTCATAAAACCTCTCACCACTGCTTGGTGTAACCTATGATACACATACACACATTTTCAATACACTAAAGATAACAAAAAAAAAAAAAGTCTATAGAGGGTATTGATTCATTACATGATGTAGTAGCTTTGGTTCTCACAGCCAAAACCAAACCCTGAATGAGGAAAATTAAAGATGATTCTATCATAAAGTTCTGATCGTTGACCAAGCTTACGATCTTTAGCCATGGAATGCACATTAATCCCGTGGACCACGGTGCAACCTCGTGTCTTCAACTCTTCTACGTTAGCTTTCCCATCCTTATACTTAAGCTGTAGCTCCTCTGCAATATTCGTATTTCAAATGTTAATCACCAAAATCATATTATATGTCAAGGCATCATTCAATCCCATTCAAGACTAGATAAAAAAATAAAAACTTAAAATCTTTACAACGGATATTGTAGCAACATATACCAAAACATTTATGAGATGATTGATGATTAAAGGTTTGATTCACCTAAAGTGTCGAGAGAGGTTGCAGTGAGGTTTGTTGCGGAACCAAAGGCTCTAGCTAAAGATAGAGAAAAGGAGAAGTCTCCTTCTCCGACCAGAAGTATTTTTTGCTTATTGCTGTATTCTCTTAACTTTTTAGTTTTCATTTTATCTCAATGTTTTCTTCATTTTCACACAATGTCGTTATATATACACATAAATTGTATATATCAAATATGGATGCATTAATAGTCAAATGAAAAGATTAGTGTTAAATGTTTGGATTTAAAATTTGTCTCTTGGGACTGTGTGATTATTTATGTAACTTCGAAGAACATTAAATATTCTATATATCCATGCACCACTTTGGCGACAAGAATCAAACCCTCTTTTGTTTTCAATTGGGTACCACCAATAAACCACGCCAATTAGCAATTTAATTAACATAAATGATGTTTGAATAATTGAATTTGTTCTTACCCATTCATTGACCCGTCTGAATTAACAACTTTAAAATTTTTCTTTAATAAAATCTAGTGTTCAAATAAGATTCTAAGCCAATGAAATTTGTAATCTATATTGCAAATCAAACCATTAATGTTAAGACTACGTTGAAATTAACTTCTCTTTCAAACTTTTGAGTTATATAAAATGAATTTCATTATATCAATTACAATTTTTGTAGATTCTGAAGCTCATAAATACATTAGAAAATACTTAAGATTGCAATTTGTTTATTTTAAATATTCAGAAATGAACATATACTGATGACTAGGAAACTCTTGAGCTTGTTAACAAAATCATAAGATTAGTTTTTGTTTTTATTTCTTTTGATAATAAAATATTAAGAATAGCTAATAAAAATGATTTGAACAAAATGAGTGGTTTCATATGAGCACTCCTGCTTAACATGTTTCTTCGATTCAAAACGAGAACCACTGTTTCCTAAACATGAAAGTAGAAGATTCTCCAATAGGAAAGCTTGAGTCACAGTCACTTCCACTTCCTCTCTTATTCGAGTAGCCCGGATATTGCCCCGGTTCAAACTCCATTTCTCTGTTAAACAAACCAATTTCTGAACCCAAGTCTTTTATATTCCAACTAGCAAATGGATATGCCGTCTTATGAGTAACATGAATCTCTCCAGTGAAGTCTTCAAGACATAGTTTCAAAAATTTCTTTATGGACCAGCGTCTTTAAGTATAGTAACACTAATTGGTTCCAACATGCGAATTAGCATAAGCATAAGGACAGTGTTAAATTTTATTTTTTTTAGCGAAATTATTTACACTTCTTAAATTAATTGACATTTTTACGTATCTATTCTTCCTCTAATAAAATTTTCAATAAGTGTTAATAAATAAAATAATTTATTTAAGCCAAAATTTCAGTTATAAAGAGTAGTTTTAAGTTTTGTTACTATAGAATGTAATTTACAGTGTCTCGAATTTTAGATTAGAATTTTGAAAAAGAAAACAAAAGAATATAAAGGAATCATTGTTGAAATTAAAGGACAGAAAACAAAAAAGGTATTACAAAACTTAAGTAGAGAGAAAAGCATTTCCTTAGTCATCATCAGTTAGTATTGTGGTATTTATAAAACCACTAGAAATTTTTGAGTAAAGATATTCTCATGTATCTTTCAGTTTATAGGGATGGCAAATATTTTTTAGTTGATCTGATGAGGCTAACTAGCCGAACAGTATAATATCAATGATATAGCTTTCGGATACAGATTCTAAGTGGAGTAGGACTTTATAGGATCAAGTGTTGATTCAAAAGTTATATGTCACTGCGACAAGAATTATGTCTTAACAGAGGAAATTAAAGTCTTTATATTGCATGATACATCATTTTTGGATACTCAAATGTTCCAAATTCTCGGAAGATACTTGTCTCTTGCTGGTCCTCGTGCTAACAAAAAATGTCTAGAATAAAATCTTATGATCATCGTTATTAATAACGTGACTATTTTTTAAGGACAATAGTAAACAGTCTCTTATATAATTACTAGAAGTTGCCCATACGATGTGTGGGTATACTTATAGTTGCTTTGTATATAATAATTTAAATATATGCATTTATATGTTTATAAATTATGAAATTTTAGTTTTACTAAAATCTTTCAACACATAAATTTTGAGGTTTTTTTTATGAATTACTAAAAAGATTAATTTTATTCTTTTTTCTTCAAAATGGTATATTAAAAATGGTATTTTTAAAATGATTTGAATATATACCACAACGTTTTCTTCATAGGAACGTTAAATAGACCAATGGATATAGAATCCCACAGGATTATACGTTTTTAACCTAATGACCACGTACATTTGTTGTTGTTAATGTAATCAATAATTATTCATAAATAAAATCTTCGATCTAATTGTAAATGAAGAATATGTTCTATTTAATGATAGAATTTATGAGTACCTGTAACTGTATATAAGCGTAAGTTTGAATTTCTTATTTTCAACAATCGCGTATTGGTTATGGAACTAATATTAATGTTCACTATAGCATCCATTAGATATAAGGAGAAGAAGCAAATGTGGTTCCTCTTGAGTATCGTTGACTTGTCATTGTCGGACAACTTTTGTTTTATGACTAGACTTTCATTTTTTTCCTATTCAAATCGTCTAAAATCTAAGACCAATGGAAGAAGGGAACAAAGTTGAAGAAACACAATAAACTATGTAAATCAAAGCTTTGTTCTCCATTCCATCAATGGAAGACCCACTAAGCGCTAAGGACCTTCCTAAAATTTCCAAATTTGTGTTATGGTCCTTGAAAGTTTGTAATACTGTTTTATTTTTCTGTTTTGAACCCCCTACAATTTTAAGTTTGTGTTATAACCTTTTATATTATGGAAATTTGTTATACTTCTTTATGTTTTGACCCCTTTACTTACAAGTTTTTACATACTTTTTGTTTGTTTAACCCATAAATATTAAATGGTTTTCTTTTAAACAACGATGTTATTATTTTATTGTTTCAAAAATTTTAATAGTATTTTTACATTATATTTTGACCTAGATAAAAAAAATTATGGATCCGCCACTGATTTCATTCGTAAACTTCAAGGCTGATACCATAAGTCATATCTCTCTATGATTGAGTAGATTACTCTGGATTTCTGTCCTACATATGTGGCCATCTTCTTGGGTATATCAACCAAATTTTCAGCTATCTTCATAAAAAAATTTCAGATATCGTCATTTTTTTTTCTATACATACTACCAAACAAATTTAATTTACAATTGTAAAAAGCCAATTATTCTCATCAAAATACAAAATTTATTAAAAATGTCACCTATGTTAAGTGTATTAAAAATTTATACTTTTGCACATTTTTCATTTTTCTCCTACAAATGTTATATCGACATCAGAGAAGTCGGACATGAAATTGGTATTTCACGAGTTTTATAAAAATGTTCCTAAAAATACACAAAGAGATGATTATAGATAAATACAACAAGAGATTGTTGAAAAGCCACTGGAGGAGAAAGAGGAATGTGAAATTTCGTAATCCATCTCTTATACGAAGAGTAAAAGACATATTATAGACTCAAACATTTACTTTGAGATCTCTAGATTTTTTAAAGGTTGTCTTATAAATAGTACCTCCATTTTTTTTTCAAAGATAATAGTAATTGGAAGTATCATTGACTTCTTCTTCGGCGATATATTGAAACTTTTTAGTGGTCATCAAGATTTGGTGGCTCAGCTTCAAAGATGAAAAAACTATGTCGAATAGAAACTCTTAGATGATAATGGTTAATAAATTCACAAATACTATTAGATTTACTCGTTCTTTGATTAATGTTTGTTCCATTCTTTGCACAGAGATGGCTCGGAATGTGGCCAACTACACTTGGAGGTGGCTTGAAGTGCCCAAGCTCACCACATTTTTCGAAGCTGACCTACCTGTTTCAGGTGAAGTTCCTCCACTCACTCCAGGCTTGTTTTGCTTCAATGTTGTATTATACAAGGACACCAACATTTGGGATCGTAACGCCACCAAATACTATTTTCTACTATTTCTAAATATATATAAATAGAAATTTTGATATTATTAAAATCATATACTATATTTATTTTATGCTCTATATATAGAGACTCAATCTCTTCATCTTCTCAAACCTTCACATCATTGTTACTATTATATATTATATAAACAAATATAAGTAATTAATGAAATTAAATATATTTATAATGTAATTTGATATAATTTCAAATATATAAATTGGAAATCTTTTAATTTAAGATAAAAATAAAATAAGTATTCAAGTTAAATTACATTACAATAAAATAAACTACACTAAAAAATATTATATTGATGAGAGATTTAGTGAGTCTCTTACCAATGCTCATGCTCTTACCACTTTAAAAGAAAACAACATTTAATTTTACAGTAAATACAGAATTAAATCTCTCTTTTGGTACTATTAATTTTTTTAGTTAAAATCTACTTAACATTTTTGAAGTACAAATTTGCTCTTTCAATCGGGTCGGGTATTTTAAAAGATTTTGACCCGGATTTTTGACCCGATCGGATCCTTCCTAATTGGAGTTTTTGACCCGGATTTTTTTCAATCGGATCCTACCTAATCTGAGACTTTCCTAACAGACATATCTTTGCACAACAAATTGTTTCCTATTATAATGCTAGAGATTTTAATGCATTTAGCATTTGTTTCCTAACAAAATTGAATCATATTAATTCTATATTCAATCCAACTAATCGAATATAAAATTTCTCATAACTAAAAGATTTTATCCTTATTTGATTAAGCATCTACATAGCATATTCTTAGTTTGTGACGATTTAAAGATTTTCAAAGATATCAAATACTTGCTCATCATGATTTTTAATATTCTCTAACCCAAACCATACTAACCTAACAAAACATTATAAATACTCAACCTCTAAACACACAAAACACCAATACCATTTCGATCTATAGCAAAAGCTCAAAAACCTAACCACATCATTTGCTTATTTGAAGGATTGCAAATGTAAGCAAGACGCTGCTAACCTCATATGTGACAAAGAAAAAAATGTGAGTTTATCAAATTCATTCAACTGCTTTATATATGTGTATTACTATACCGAAGTTAGGCTTAAGACAAATTCAAATGTAAGGATTATTGTTTTTAGACTTCTTGCAAATACAAAATTAAAATGGTTTTTACGAGATTCTAATCATCATATTGACACGAATATTTTTTTGTTTGTTTGTTACAGCTTAAGGAATGTAACCTTTCCAAAGGCAGAACATCTACACTAAGATCCGAGAATTCTATATTGTCATTAAGAGTAGAAGCTATGATATGTGAGAAAATATTGATCTTGGGTTTTTAACACAATTAATAATAATATCTATTTACGTGATTATAATCGTCTTATTGACCTATATTTTATTTTATTTTTGGTTATAGCTTTAGGGAATGATGGGAATGTAGGTTCTTTTGAAGACCGAACAAATTTGACTCACTTAGGAACAAACAAATCTTATTCTACTCTAGGAACTCAAAAGTTTGCTTCTCTTATTCTCCTCTAGGAACAAATCTTATTGATTACAAGGTACTAATTTCTTTATTTGTTGTGGTCCTAATGAAAATTGAAGACTTTTCCATTGTTTTATTTGATATTTTGGTTGATGTGTTTCCAATTTTTTTTTTTTTTTTTTTTTCATTTTTAGTAATTCCATATATGTTGAACAATCTTTTTATATATGCAAGTTAGTAACCAGTGAATTTGATTAATAATCATTTAATTGAGACAATGTATTGGTGTTTAGTATTGAAAGTAGAAAAGTACTAAAAATCCTAATAAGATATAATATCTGAATCACCTCTTTTTTGCATGCAGCTTTTCTCAATCTGTTTGGTCCTCTCTCTCCTCAAGGATTCTCAGATACTCAACAAGCTTCTCTTGGACCTGCTTAATCGACGAGCTCATCAACTTCATTGGTAATTCGAAACTTCGTTATCTTCTGCTCTTAACTTGGTAAATCTCGATTTACGAAATTTGGAAAGAACAAAACAATCGGCTTCATCACATCTACAACTACAATTCACTGGACTTCCTCATCCCCTCCATAGAAGTCACCGTCAAGAAAATGATTTCCGAAAACCAAAAATTATTTAGCGAAATTTTTGCAGCTTTGACTCTCTTCCCAGTTTGGGTCTAATCTACCAATTATGGGCTACTTTTAATTGTTAAGGTTCAATTATATTCTTAGTGGGTCTTTACTTTCTGAATGAAATTTTTTCCTTCCAAAAAAAATAAAAAAAATAAAAAAAAATAAAATTTTTAGGGAAATTGGCAAAACTAACCAACAAAAAGCTTTAATTCAATAACTAACTACTCTAACCATAAGACTATGATATTACGTATAATATATGTATTATTATCAATTTTACCCCTATTCTATATAGAACTCCTATTTCTAAATAGTATCTCACCAGAAAATCACCCTTACCGCCATGGTCACGGCCGCCACCGTCACCACCGTCACCACCTACATTATTCTCTTTCTCTCTGATCCAAGTTCCTTTACGATGTTCTCTAAAACTTCAATATTTTTGTTTTCTGTCACATCCCATCTCTTATTCCGATCAATCTCACGCATCCAATTTATCTAATGAGGACCGGTTTTGGTCAAGTTCTTTCAGTCGAGAGATAGAGATGGTATTGAATGGATTAAAATCGATGGATCTGAAAGTGATAGTTTCAAGGTCAGATTATGTTGAAAGCGTTTTCGATCATCTCAAAAATTCTATTTCATGACAGACGAGCTTTCTAAATCGGAATCAAACGCGAGCTCTAGCAACAATGGAGCTTGTTTGCCAGCTACTGATTGATGATGCAGTTGTTGCTTTTGGTGTAGAGAGATTGTACGGAGAGAAGATGAAAGTTCAGAAGACTAAGGTTAGAGGAAGAAGAAGAAAAGAGAAGGGTTGTTGTAGTTTATTGTGAGGGTAAAATAGTCTCTACAACATTGAAAATGGTTACTTACTTTATTTTTAAATTTATGTGGCTATATTCTTAATTTTGAATATAAATTTGGTTATACAGCAAATTCACCCAAATTTTTATGCAATCAATTACCAAAAGACAAAAAAAAAACGTTGTCACGATGGTTTATCTTTTTTTTTTGGTTATTTTATTTATGGCAAAGTGGCAGAAAACTATAGTCTTTTCTATTAATATTTTTAACGAATTTGTTCACTACAGGAAAATCGGGTATTAATAGCAGATCAAGATAGCGGTTTAGATGGTTATGCTATAGTTGATTATTGGCTTTTTTTTCATAGCGTTTGTGAAATGTAAAACGCTATAATATATTGGGCGGCAAAAATTATGTGGTTCGCGCTTAAGAATTTGGCTATCCATTTCATTGTAATAGCATGTACAAAATTTAAATGCTATGGTATCTTAACCGTGAAAAAAAAAAAATTATTCTGAATCCCGCCTAACTAAAAAATTGGGATATATCAAAATGTTTTGGTCAAAAATTAGGGTTCCCGTCTGTTTCTTTTTCACATTCATCAACTCTGTCTCTTTATTTTTTTTCTTTCCGGCAACTCTCGATCCTTCATCCATGTCTCGATCTCTCACTCGCTCAAACTCGTTCCTCCATCTCTGTCTCGATCTCTCAATCACTGTCCCGTTCCCGATCTCTCACTTGCTCAAACTCGTTCCTCCATCTCTGTCTCGATCTCTCAATCACTGTCCCGTTCCCGATCTCTTCACTTGCTCAAACTCGTTCCTCCATCTCTGTCTCGATCTCTCAATCACTGTCCCGTTCCTCTTGCTTTCAGTCTTGGTCTCCATGGGTCTCCATTTCCTCCCCTCTCAATCTCAGTCTTGTTTTTAATCTCTATCTCGATCTCCCCATCACAGTCTTGTTCCCTATTAATTTCCATCATCTACATCGGTAAGTCGAATCGGTATAGTTTAATTGATATGTATTTGACTGTTCTTGTAGCTGAATTTCGCACTTAGAAGAACTAAGATATGTGGGATTTCGATTTTAAGTTTGGTCAATAATCAATTTGGAATTTTGATTTTCAGCGTTTGTCGATTTCTTTTTGTAGATAGTCTTCAAATCTTCAAGATTATTGTTGATGCCGCTTGTTTTTTGTTACTCTTTGTATGTTTACTTAATTTCTCGTTTGTGTTGGTTTGAATGTATGGTTTACAATCTCCTGCAAGCTGCAGATTCTAAGTCCCGGTTGATCTGCTGGTTGTGCTCTAATTTGAGATTTGTTTGATGAGTCTGGTTCTTTGGCTGAGTCATATGGTGTCCAAGAAGTTACATTTTCACTAGATAACGCTTCTTCATTTGTAGATTACATGAATGCTTTTCATCTCACGATCTTAAGAGTACAATCTTAGGGAACAATCTCATGTATACTGCAACTTATAGAGTTATATATGTAGCGAAATCATTTTCAGGTGTAAATGAATTTTGAAGCAACTCCAATCAAATTTACAGTGATTTTGTCTTCTTTTAGATTTTGTTTGATGACTGTGGATATTTGTACAAGTGACCTTTTAACTAGAATAAGGGAACAATGTTAATATTTTAGATTTTGATTTTATGCTTCTTGATGTTTACCTGTTGGTCATTCTACATTCATATCAACGGTATTATGTGAGTCAAAAGTTTATGTCATTCTACATGTTTTATGCTTCTTGATTTTATTCTCACTATCATGTTTAAAAGGTAAGACCACATATATTATTCATGTACACAAATTTTTTCATGGGTTGTGTTTTGGGTTTCCTGACTTTGTATATACATATTGTCTCTTTCAAATACATGTTTGATTTTTAATGTTTATATGCAGCTGAATGTTGGACAAGGACGGTTGTCACATTGTAGCTGAATGTTCCTGACTTTTAACGTTGTTGGTAGTTCTGTTTTTGTAAAATCTGAGATGGGCGAGAGGTGATTGTTATTCAAGGAAAGGAACTTGTGATCCTGGTAAGAGAGGTGCTCTAGAGAAGATCTCAAGTACTGTGACATTTTTTTTGTATATGTTGTGTTAAATAGGTTTTGAAGATCATTTGATGTGACGTTTTGCTGTCGTGAAAACCAGTCAGCCAAGACCAAGGTGATCAACAATTGCTTGAATCATGTGTGGGATGAGGAACTGAGCTTGAAGCGACTAATCAGTTCCCGTTTTCTCTTTTCAACTCGTCAATGGCAGCTTCCGTTCTTCTCAATCATGTTTTGCAAAGTTGAAGCTCAATCTCTCTCCGTTGGGTTGCAGAGATTCATATTGAGTTTTGTTTTGAGTTTCGTATTTGATTCTTGATTGTCACTTGTTGTAAGAGCTGTTGTTGAATAGAAGTGATGACAAGCCTTTTAGATTCTTTGTGGAGTTGTAAGATGAAAATTTTTATGAGTACATAAAAACTTCTATGTCAGAAAACGAGTTTATGTTTCGTTAATGTTTTTATTGTTTAATTTTATAAAGTATTTTCTCTTTTAATAACACAAAATTAAAACTATATATATAAATTTTAATACTCAATACATAATTATAATTACAAATAAAAATTTATTTTGTTCATAATTATTCTAATACATATATAATCAATACCAAGATTGTGGGACGAATCCTACACCTGCAATACAATACCAAGATTATGATAAAAAAAAATTAAATTCCTAAATTAAATCTCTAAACCCTAAATTAAAGTTAAAATCCTAATTAAATTAAATCTTTAAAATCCTAATTAAATTAAATCTTTAAAATCCTAATTAAATTAAATCTTTAAACCTTAAATTAAAGTTAAAATCCTAATTAAATTAAATCTCTAACCCTAAACCCTAAACCCTAAACCCTAAATTAAAGTTAAAATCCTAATTAAATTAAATCTCTAAACCCTAAACCCTAAATTAAAGTTAAAATCCAAAAACTATCTAACTTGAGTAAAAAAATCTAAACCCCAAAGTTTAAACCCTAAACCCTAAACTATGCCCTAGTGTTTATGAACATATAAGTTAGATAGTTGGAATACTAACTTATATTAATTGTTCTTAATTTTAAAATTTTATACTTATAAGAAAAAATATTCTAAAAATTGAAATACTTATATTGAATTTTTAAAGAAATAATTTCTATTTTTTTCATTAATAAACTATTTTATATGATAATTTTCTGATTTTTTCATTAATAGCCAATGGGAAGTAACCTCCCAGATTGTGGGACTAATCCTACACCGTTAGATAGCGCCGACTTTGATCTCAGCCGTCCATTCTTATTGTTGACGCGATTAATGTACACCGTTGATCTGTCTCGATAACTTTGATCTGAGCCGTTCTTTTTCTTAGCCAATGAGCATTAACCTCTGAGATTGAACTTTGGCTTATTCTCCACCATTGATGAATTAAATCCAACGGTTAAGATTTTCTCCTTCTTTTGATTAAAACTTATTCTTCTTTTTGCCTTGTCTCTTCGTATCCTTCTCTTATGTGAAAATCAAACAGTTGGCTTCCCGTTTCTTTACTTCTCCGATCAGTGGAGGTCCTGGAGGATATAGAAGGTGGCGGTGGCGGCTTCTGGATCTGGATATTTGAAGACTGGATCTGGATCTAGGGCTTCAATCGGAGTTGTTTTCTGGAGAGTTATCCTCCGCCACATTCAAATCTTCCCTCCGCCGTCGACACTCATTGCTTCTCCTCCGGTCTTAAGGTATGAGACGCTTGCTCTCAGCTTCCTCAGCAATGTCAGAGCAGCAATCCGAAGAAGTTCAGCAAATCGAGAAGCTCTACGAGTTCAGCGAGCGTCTCAATGCCTCCAAGGACAAGTCTCAGGTTCGTCTCAATTTTTCAACTAGGCTTTGAATTGAAATCGAGCATTCCCTGTTTCCTCTCCGGTTTATGTATTTTTAACAATCGTTTCTGTGTTTGGAGCTGGATTTTGCTTTGGATTCGAATTAGGCTACTGTGAATATGGATATTTGATTTGTTTTTCTCAAATCGCAAGCTCCGGTTTTGTTTATGCAGATAGAGGAGATCTACAGCGAGCGAATTGAATCGCAATCTCCGGTTTTGTTAATCGCAAGCTTAGGTTCTTTTCTTCCATCACTGTAATTTCTATGTATTTTTTATTTTTTCTTATTAATTAACAACGCTATGATTTCTCTGTATTATTCCATCAGGTTGAAATTGCAGATTCAGACCGAGCAAGATCGTATTTGGGTATTTGAAGGACAACAAAATTTTCTGAATTCGTTTGATAGAAGAGAAAAGAAGAAGAAGAAGAGGAGAAGAAGAAGGTTCACGAGGAAGAGGAAGAGGAAGAGATTTTGGGTTTTTTTTTGTTGATTTTTTTTCATGGGCTTCTAGGCTTTTTTTAATTAGGCTTTTAAGTTTACAGAATTTTTTGACATAATTGTATCTGCTTATTATATTAAAAGATTTTAGGCTTTTTTTAGGCCTATTTGTATTTTGTAGTAGGTTTTTAGGCCTTTTTAAAGCCCAGTTCAATAAAATATTGAACAATAATCTGGTATAAAATATTGTCTACGTATTACAAATTGGATAAATTGGTATAAAATTGGAAAAAACTTTCATGTATAATACATATTGTCTACGTATTACAAATATATATATATATATATATATATAGAGAAATAATTAAATATATTAATAGCAATTATTAATCGCTATTATCTATTTTTATATTGCATACCAAAAAACGCTATGTTATCAAATATCTTAATAGCACTTACAAAAACCGCTATGTAAAGTGTCAGACCTACTATAACGGGCGCAGACATAGCGCTTTCTACACCGCTATAGTATCTTTAGATAGCGGTTTTCAGATGCTACGAATACCCTCATTTCCTGTAGTGATTATATATTTTGTATCTGGTGTATATTTTGTCAAAAATGTAAAATGGTTTGCAAACAAAAAAAATTTAGTACAATGGTTTGTAGAGATGTAGATATTGGGTAAAACTAATTTGTTGTCTTTTATATTACTCAAATCTAAATTTGATTTCAAACAAATTTGGATAATTATATTATATACTATTTTTATTATATTAATTAACCAAATAATTTTATAATTATACGAATTTTGTTTTGACAAGTTTTGTGATTTTCAACTATATCACATATAATAAAATATAAATATATTTTATAGAATCGGAATTGCAAAACCTAATAAATAGTAAATCTACTTAACATTTTTGATGTACATTTTTGCTCCTCCAATCGGGTCGGGTTTTTTTTTTCTGATTTTTATCTGGAAATCTTCAATCGGATCTTTCCTTAAGTTTTGGCAAAATTTTAAAACGAAATTAATTAATCAAATCTAAAATATATATATATATATTTTCTCAACTAATTACTATATTAAACTCTTTACTTATGGTATATTCTTTACGATTTTTATAGATAAGGAAATCAAATATGATGATTTAATGCTAAGATAACAAATTTGATCGAATTTCCTAAAAACTCTCTACCTAATTTAAACATAAATATATGATTCTTATTTCACTTTTATTTGATCTTATGTTTATATCTGGAATTATTATAAAAATATATAGTTAATAAATTTTTGTTTTTTTTTTTCTGCATATGTTATGATTCAGATTTTTAATAACAGACATATATTACTCAATCGATGAAGAAAAAAAGTATGTGTATAATCTATATTAATAATTTTGAAGAAAAATTTGCTCATTTAATCATGTCGTTTTTTTTTATTCTGACCCAAAATTGAGTCATTCGGATCTTTCCTTAATTTCTACAATTATCTAAAACTGGACAGTATACCACGGGTGAAATCCTAAAATTAACAAATAAAAATATAATTATTTAATATTTTAAGATACAACTATAAATTATTTTTACGGGTTGGTCCAAAAACACACACATATATATTATGGAAACCATTTAAAAAAAACTTATAAATTGATTCGAATTATATGTCTTTTAAATAAAAGTGTTATTAAAAAAATTAATAAAATGATGTTTAATTTCACAGGACGGGATTATACGGTGGACGGGTTTGGGTCGATATTATTACAGGACAATATACCATGGGTGAAATCCTAGAATTAACAAATAAAAATACAATTATACAATCTTAAACACTAAACAAAAAAATACAACTTAAATTTTTTATTTTTTAGTTTCAACGCATGTGATCCGCGGTGTACAACATAAAATATTATACACAACAAATTCATCAGTTTATAAAAAAAATAAAAAAAAAATCAAATAATTAACCCGCGGGTCATATCCTAGTGGTAGTATTAAAATCGTACATTAACCACCAATTTTTTTTTTTTTTTTTTGAAAAAGTACATTAACTACCAATTAATAGGTAAAAATCGTAAATTCCTTTTTCTCTTAATTTGTTTTGCATTTGAACCGATGATCCAATTTTTTTTTTTTTCTCGAGTCAATTTTTGTTAAGTTTTGAAGTTTTGGTAAGCTTTTTTATAGATACTAGGTTGAAACCCGCGCTCCGCCGCGGTATATTTTTAAATAATTTTTTTTAATATTGAAGAAATTTAAATTGGAGAAATGATTTTAATTAAATATTTAATAATTAAATAATTTGAAGGCAAAAAAAGAACCAAATCAAATTTGAATGTTAAACTGAGACCAAACCGTGTTTGACAAAAAAAAAAAAAACTGAGACCAAACCGTAAATCAATTTTAGTATTCAGATAAAATTTGTATCCTGAAAAAGTCCGAAAACGATCATTTTTTTCTGGAAAAACAGATGAACAAAGGAGAGAGATAGATTAGATAAACAGTTAAACGGAGAGGAAAAAAAAGGAAGACCTTTGCTTTCATATCTGAAAGACTTTCACTAATGGCAGCCAATAAGAGACGATTGTTTCACTGTATGTTTAAAAGAGTTTCTATCACCGGAGTGCGGGGGAGCTATGGCGGTGTTCCGCAATTGAACTCTAAATCTCCTACGTCTTTTTCTCAGCGATTGATGTAATTGGAATCTGAATTCAGTGCCCACAAGTAAATATCTTTCTTTTCTCTTATTTTTTTCTCAAGTTTCCGTTTTTGTTTTCTCCGATTTGAATATATCGTCGATGAAATCGTTGAGCTTTTATTTTTTGACAAAAGTTATGATATTTGATTCGATCGGACTTATATATATATATATGGACATGTCATAGCTGTATAGAACTCATGACTAAGATACTTGAAAATATGTTATATGGAATGATCATCTTTGATTTTAATGTTCCATATGCATACTTGATTTATATGTTGAAGAGGCGTAAAAGGCTAAGAGATTTGTTTGTTTGTTTGTTATAGGAGTATAGAACGTTACTCAAATGATTTTTAGTTATTCATTAAGATCTATGATAACGCTTAATAAATCTTATAATATTTTATTGCAATAGTTCTTAACTAATTCGATTTGTATCCAATTTTATCCAAAGGGTAAACATTACAAGTAAGGGCTTGACTGGTTTAAACGTAGCGGTTGCGGTTGTGGGAGTTTGCGGAAACGGACGGTTGCGGTTTCAAGCATTATTTAGCATTTTGACCGACTGGTTTAGCGGTTAAAAACGAATACGTTTGCGGGAGATTTACGACTGGTTGATCAGCGGGTACAGTAGCGGTTAAACCAAAATTTAGCAAAATAAATTTAGTATATGATTATAAAAAGTATAAAAACACCAAAAACTATAATTATGAAAAATATAAAAAATTTAAACATGATTAATGATTAAAAACCATAAATAATTATTCAAATAAATTTTATATTGAAAACAAAAATAATTATTAATATTGGAAAATTAAAGTTAGATAATTTTTTTTTAAGAATTAACGTGAATATACATAAGACTTGATAATATATATATTTAAATTTGTTCATTTTTCTTTTTCAGTTTCTTTCCTTTTTTAAACCAACCGCAACCGTCCGCAACCGCAAACGCTTGCGGAAAGGAGCTTTTAAAATCCAGCGATTTCGAACTGTTCGAAGTGGTATGGAACAGTTTCTATGATTGGTACCAACCGCTAACAACCGCAACCAACCGCTAACAACCTCTAGGCGGGAGAACCAATCAAGCCCTAAATTGAAGTCCAACAATCCTATTCTAAAACATTAAGCCCATATGTTAGAGCCCAAGAACAAATGAGACAATATTAATAAAAGCAGAAGGGATGATTATTGGCCAAAAAATCTGATGTGTATTAATCCAAATATTTTTATTGGATGATGATTTTAATGATGTGTCATGTCCAGAATACTCCAAAAAGCTGAGGTGTCAGCACTGGAGAGAAACCTAGTGTTTATAATTTAATGTTTTATCTTTACTTAAATTGTAAAAAATTTTACTTCTAGGGATTAGTTTTTTATTTATGTAATTAGACTTTGTAATTATAATTATAGTCTCTATTGCCAACGTTAATATCTAATGAAAAGATGATGTTTCAAAAGTAAAATTCTAGTATATTTTTCAGTTAATAATTTATTTTCGTAGCAAAGGTATTTTTTAAATTTTTTATTTAGTGATTTGATATAATTAAATAAAATTTTAGAACTTGATTGTTTACTTTTATACTATTCGGAACCAATTATTACAAAAAGTATCATTACCATGTGCACTCTAAATATAGTAAATTTTATAAATATTAAATTTTACTAATTATTTTATATCTTTTGCAACTTTAAAGAATTAATAATTAGAATTTTCAAAGATCGTATTAGTTAGAGATGCTGAATTAATTACCATGTTCAGTTTTGTTTAGTACTTATATTTTGATTATGTATCAATTTTAATGATGTGTTAGTTTGAGAATAGCTTGAAAAGCTAATGTGTAAACACCATTAAAAAACTTTTAATACTATCTTTTTTGTAAATATAATAATTTTATAATTTAAATTTTATATTATCACATATTCTTGACATATTATATTTACAAAAATATATAAAATATTTAATTCTATATATGATATATTAATTTTTATATATATATATATGTAGCGCGGGCCAATCAGTCAATCTTCGGGCATAACTTTCTAAAATCCGTAATCCGTGTAGGATTGCCCGCAAGATCCTTTTTTAACGGATTTAATATTTTGTGTTCATAACCGGACCGGACTGGGTTAAGCCCATGAGTTTAGGCCCATTTTGATATTTCTATATAAGAGAATAATGTGGAAAAATGAAAGGTTCTTATTGGATATGAAAAATGAGTTGTATTATTTAGAATGTTTTCATTGGTCATTCATT